GACAACTGCTAGGACTACCGCCCTGGCCCTCCCCGCGATGACGAAGGTCAAAGCAGAGGCGATGGCGGACCGCGGCGCGCCGACGTCGGAAAAGGTGAGCGCTTGGGCCCTGCGCATCCAGTTCCGCGTCTTGCCTGACCTCCCTCGCACCCGCCTCCCCTGCAGGTCGCGCTCCGGTGGCCAGGCCGTCCCATCTACCCCTGTTCCTCGTCATCTCCCCCCGCCCTCCAGCTGCAGTGGCGCGCGATGTCCGCCGCCGCCGCCCTTCCGCTCGACGTCCTCCCGCTGATCCTCGAACACCTCGCCGACCGCCGTGACCTCTGTACGTGCGCGCAGCTCTCCAAGGTCTTCCACTATGCCGCGACACCGCTGCTGTACCGCACGCTCGACGTGCGCATCACCACCCACAAGGGCCTCGTCAAACTCCAGGTGTGCTCCCCGTGTTCCCATCCCCATCCCTGCTGCCTCCGCTGGACGCGTTGAACGAGACGGGCACGCGAGATCGGGGCAGCATCTGTCCCTATGCGTCCCTACTTCTATTGCTGTGCGGTCTTGGCCGCGGCTGGCGGTGCGTGGATCAACCATTACGGGGGTGTGCGTGCACGCGCTCCCCGTTGGACCTGCTTGTTGCTCTGCTACAGTGGAGCGGCACTCCAAGCCGTGAGTACTCGCTATGCGGTTTCTTATGCGGTATTCTTGTCCAGGAAGCGTCCGTCGTGCATCCTTCTATCACGATCTCCAGAAGCCAGAATACGCCAAGCATGTGCGTCACGTTTCCGAAACTGGTGAGTGCTCGTTGTGCTCGATGCGATACTGCCGCTATCGCGACTGACTAGACTCCAGCTTCAGTCGGCTGTTACAGACCGACCTGCTTGAAGGTTCGCTGAAAGCCCTCCGCATGTACGTCAACCTGGAAGGCTTCACCTGGAGTGGCGACATGGCCGAGGGCTCGTCCGGCGAGCGCGAGTTTATGTCCTACCTCGACATCCTCCGCGAGCTGCCCGTCCGGGAGCTCGTCATGCGGACCTTCTACGGGCTCTCGGACGACGTCTGGGAGGCGCTGCACGCGTTCACCGGGCTGCACAAGGTCTCGATCTGGTGCATGGAGGGCAAGCCGCGCATCCTCCAGGGCTGGTCCGAAAAACTCGGCGAGAGCCTCACACACCTCGAGCTGGGCGTCAGTTCCCTTTCTCGCGTGCACCCGTTAGACTGTACGTCCTGATCACCGCTTCCCCCTGCTCGTCCGCGTGCGCCGGCAGCGTTGTTCAGGTGTTCCCGCCTCGATCCTCATCACAGTCCTCGCCCACCTCCCGCGCCTCCGCGCGCTCCGCCTCAAGGGCGCGTCCTCAGCCGCCATCCTCGAGATCCTCACCTTCCTCCCACACCTGCACTCGCTCGACACCGAGTACTTCGGGGCCGCCGCGCTCTCGCGCTACGACGACATCCCCGCCGCGCGCCTCCGCGATCTCACCGTGCGCACGAGCACGGTCGACCCGCAGGGCCTGCAGCAGCTCTGGACGTGGATCCGCCGGCTCACGCCCGCCCCGAGCCTCGAGAGCTTCACGCTCAACGCGTTTTCCACCGCCGGCGAGCAGTTCATCCCCCGCGGCTTTCTGCTCGACATGGCGACGATCCACAAGGACACGCTCAAGCACTTCACCGCGGACTCGACGCAGATGTCCCTCGCGGACGTCGAGTGCCTCTGCACGCTCTTCCCCGCGCTCGAGACGCTCTCGTGCTCAACGATCTGGAGCCCGGAGGGGGTGCGTACCCGCGCTGTTGTGCGTTGTGGAAATCTCTAACTTGGTTGCGCAGACTCCTTACGAGGCCGTCGTGGCGAAGGCCAACAACCTCCGCACCCTTCGATTCTACCAGTCCAAGTGGCGGAGGGGAGAGTCGGACGCTATCATCACGTCCGTGCGGAACATGATGCTTCGCGAGAGCTCTGTCCTCAGGTTGATCGGTATCGGGAACTTGATATATATCGTGAGCATTTCCAAGACTTTTCGCGCCTCTCTGTCTGATGACAGTCCTAGGGACGATGGGTCTGCAAAACAGACGAGGATGGCACAAACCGCGTTGAGTTTGACATCGTTTCTGGCGTCATGCAAGATACGTGGGACTAAACTTCTTCCCCACACGCACACGCCCACACATATACGTGTACGCACCTCCGAGACATACGACCCTCCTTGTACAAAAGTATTTACCTGCATCTCTAACATTCTCTTCCTCGTCACGACTGCTCAATCACCGCTGTACCAGTACACTGCATCCGTCTCTCACATCACCATATCACGTATGCGCTCACATATATCCGTCGGACCACTCCTTGATACCCACGGACACCGCTCGCTCATTCCTGCTGTCGTTACCCACTCGCACATCATGCGCGGACTTCACTCGTGACCACGCACCGCACTTTTTGTACGGAATATCTCCTCCACCATTACTGCTATCGAGAGCTTTCGATCCATACATCACGGCTGTTACTGGAGCGTGCAGCGAATGCCGATCATTATCGTGAACGATATTCAATATTGGCGCAAGCGAGTTTACGGCCATCGCTGATCCGATGGAAGATCCTAACATACGGTAAATGCTGTACACAGGTCGAGAGCAAAACAACAGTGATCGAGAGTCGTCGAGGGCGTGCGTATTGGAGAGCCGAAGCGACCGCTTTCTGGACGAGGCCAGCCTGCTCACCGCCAGCCTCACATGCCCCTCCCCCGTCCGCGGCCTCCGCCGCGCATCGGGCCCGTCCCACGGGGCATGCCACCGCGTCCTGGGAAAAGCAATGGTCAACCGATCGGTTCATCGCGGACGAGTGGACACAGCGCATCTGTGCGTGTAGAGGCGGGAGGAGGACGTACCGCGAGGGGGTGCACCGCGACCACGAGTGCCGGGACCGCCGACATGGCCTCCTCTCGCGCCGCGGCCGGCTTCTCGCGCACGGTTCTGCTCCTCCTTGACGGAGTCGAGGAGGGCGTCTGGGACGCGCAGGTACTTGATCTGCGGTGGGGGTGGGGACGTCAGCACGAGGACGCGCGGTGAAGGGACGGCTTGCGCATAGAAAAGCGGCTTGTGTATACAGGGGGTGTGTATGGGCGACGTCCAGCCGCAGCACGTCCTGTGCCTCTCCCGAATACACACACATGCACGACGAGCCATGGCTGATACAGCAGGCCAAGATGCACATTGCACCACCATGAAGTACTCACCGTACTGCCCCGAATGTAGCATTCCTTCAATTTCCAGAACCTGTCGCCTTCCGCGCTCGTCTGGTAGACCTCTCGGAGCGTGATGTTCATGAAGTTGTCGCAGTTGACAAGGTGCCCATTGAATGTCTCGCCATTTTTCAGCTCTACAAGCTACTCAAGCCGGGTTCGTGTTAAGTGGGCATGAACGAGCAAGGGGAGGGCGAGAGTCAGCCTTGGCGAGTTCAGTGCTCAGCGCCACGGTAGGCAGAGGGGAGACTCACCATCGGCTTATTTTGTGCCGCGTTCAGTAGGGACAGTGGCAGCTGCAGACCGGCAGCTCAGAACGATCGCCCGCATGAAAGGGTTGGGCATTCTCACCATGTCTGCGCGGGTTGAAGGTAGGAGGTGAGAGGGGATGGTGGGGGCTGGTGGGGGATGAGGAAACAGTGAGGACTGGGCGTGCAACGCGTTCCCCGACGCGAGGCGAGCGCGGGGCGGAGCCGCGAGCCACAGAGCACGCGACAACCGCGCACCGCCAGAGAGAGGTCGCTCCGCGCCGTCGCCGTCCCTCCGCCTTCCTCCTCGTCCATCGCCTGCTCAAGTTGAACGCGTTGTTGGCGTCGTACGACTCTTCGCTATCCACAACCCACGTTCTCGCGCGCATATTTCCTATCAGACCGGTCAACCACGCGCAATCTCGGGCGCAGCCTGCGCCATCTATGGCACCTGCGCGACGTTGCTTCCGGCCCGCCCTCGTGCTCACACCCGCACAACCATCCTGAGCCTCTCACAGGCTCTCAGCACGAGCGCATCCGAGCCGAGCCGCAGGAACGGCAGATGTGAGTCATTCCAGGGGCGCGCAGCCACTATCGCCTGCGCGCGCAGTTCCAAGGCGTTCCTCCATGTGGGATGCGACACCCACTTGATCACCCGACGCGCATACATAACTCGTCTTGGGCATCGTCGCCGCCCCTGAGCTCGCGCTCTTAGCTTCCGTCCCCCCTCCACCCTCGTGTGTCGCCCTCGCCGTCGAACACAGCGGACACCATGATCTTGCCAGACGACTCGGCACCTATCTCGCCCGCCAAGGCCCGCGCGGAGCCGCTGTCCGCCGTCCCTGAAGAGGATCGCATCGCGCCCCCGCCGGCGTACCCTGGACATTCGATTGAGGTGCGTTGCTGCACCTGCACCTGCTGGGCAAGGCGTAACCACCTCCTTGCTTATTTCCAGGAATTCGTCGCTGCACAACCACCTCCCCCGCCATCGGCTGCCTACGGCACCTTCACCCCTCAGCACGCCGGTTCAAGTCGCGGCCCTGCGCCAATCCACATACCTTACCAGCCGTATCGCGCCTCCCGCAACGTCGATGTTGAGGCCCAGACGAGCAGCGCGTCGACTCCTCTCATTTCTCCACCACCACCACACCGCGGTGGGCCTATCAAGCGAGGAGAGCGCGCAGGGAAACGTTTCATCAAAGCTTTCCTTTGGGCCGTCGTTATCTACCTCTCGGTGGCATGGGCTATCAAGGGGGTGGTGACGATAGCATTCTGGCGAGGCAGTAGGAAGGGTAGTCATGACGTGAGTACCATTCCACTGTTTTCGCATCTCTGGAATCAAGCTCCTCACAAACGTGAATCAACCTGCTCTTTCTCTATGGCTTGAACCAGTTCCCTTGGCCAATGCCCTCCGACGGCTTGGTGCACTCATGTTTCGGCCCCACATACGTCTCAGGAGATATCAGCACTGGAGGCGTCGCGCCCTTCTCGTTGACACTGCCGCTGTCCTCAGACGCGATTTATCTCTTTAGCAGAGGGACTCTGGCGCATGGCTCCGTTGAAATATTGACGTCAAGTCACGAGAACTTTCCGGAGGACTCTGTGACGATCAAGATATATCCCAAAGGCTCGAAGGCAGACCTAGCCATGACCAACGTCTGCGTAGTTGAACGCGCTCCGTCTCAGCTGGGCGTTGCACTCTTGGTATTCAATCTCACGCGCTTTCTTTACCGCACGGTTCTGATGGCCATATAGACACCAGCGAATTGGCCCAAGGATGTTGGCGGTTTCCATATCGAGGTCGTCTTTTCTTACCGAACAGTAAACACGACGTTCGTGAACGCATTCGAAACCAACCTCCCTCGATTTTCGCACCACGTGAACCTTAAAGGCCCAGTAGACTTCCGCTCCATTAATCTGCAGTCGGGCCTTGCCAAGATTGATAGCACGGTGAGTAGTCTACATTGTTTTCAGCGGATTCCTCCTGACCCGGCCAATAGTTCGTGAAGGCAAAGAACTTGACGGCTGTCACTTCCAAGGACAAGATTACTGGTGTATTTCACGCCTCCGACCAGCTTACTCTCAAGACATCAAACGCTTCGGTCGATGTCAGCGCCTTTGTCGCGAACGATCCCTCGAATACGTCTCGCGTGTTGATACAGACGAGCAATGCGTGCGCATCCTTGGCTCCCCTCATGACCATCTTTCTTGCTCACTTCCCTCGTGCAGCCTACTCACGTCCAATATTCACCTCCTCTCGACCTCTGCAGCTTTATCCCACGCGCCACCATTACCAGACCCCTCCCTCATCAATGGCTCTTTCATCGTCGACATCCACACCACCAACGGAGCTCTCAGCGCCCATATTCACGACCAGCCTGTCGACTCCCACCTGCAGCTCGTAGGAACGACACAGAACGCACCTGTGCAGGTGATATTGCATCCCGCCTACGAGGGCACGTACAGCTTGCGTTCGTTGGGCGGCGCTGTCGCCGTGGATCCGATATCAAGCACGGATCCGTCGAACCGGTACAGGTATCGCAGGTCGTTCCCTCAGCAGAGCTCGCACTCGTCTGCGACGGGCAAGGTCCTGTGGATGCCCTACAGTGGTCCGGGTGAGGGCAGCGTGACGCTGTCGACCTCCGTAAGGCCGATTCAATTAAGTGCATGAGCGCGGGACTGTTCGTTCGTGCATTGGTGGGGGAAATTGGCGTGGTGCATGTATATAACATACTCTGTTGTGTCTTCTGCTGTGACACTGCTACGTGGCGCACCTCTGTCGTTATACCATTTGTATACTCTGTTGTACTTGTATCGCGTACAATACTCATCATCGTGGGCTGCCTTGGCCATCCCAATACATAAGAAGCCTTCGCGCGCCTGCGCCCTGCCAGGCCTCCGCTCTCTTCCTATCATCATCTGGACTCACCCTTAGTGGCCTCTCGTCCGGGTCATCTTCTAGCGTCTACAATACAAGAGCATGCCTACAACCATGACTCCGAAGCAGGCGGGTTCGTCGACTTCCCTGAGGTGTACGCGCGCGTGGCCACCAACATATTGTGATAACGGGCATTGCTTCCGGTGCGTGTATGCATGGCACTGTCGTGTCGGTTGCTGGGCTCACCCCGCGCGTCCCCAGAAGTCAAAGCTGTGGCAGTCCGCCGCATTTTCGCCCTGATGACAGTTCCCGCAGCCCCTTCATCCCCCTCTCATCCGCCAAGCCGGCTTCAACCCCACGGTGTCTCGGCGCGCCCTCCTCGGCATCCCATGCCCAATATCCCAAACCACGGCCTTTGTCGCCCGCCGCCCGCCGATAGCGCCTGAAGAAATCGCATTCTGAACAGCGTCCTTGCTTCGCGATAAGGCTCAAGGAGGCCACGTTCAACTGCGATCTCCCAGGATGCTGTGATGGGTGCACTATCTCCGAATTGCTTAAGCAACGCGATCTGTCCTTGGGAGCCAAAGACGGTGGTGCTTCGCGCAGCAGGTCGGCGGCGGTGCGGCGCGCGTCATGGCGAGACATATTAGATGACGGAGCCGGTGAGTCTACCTTCCCATCTGTTTGCTCTTCCTTCCCCCACCCCTGCTTGCCTGCAAGGCTTCCTTCCCCTTCTCCCTTGCACCCATTTCCTTGATTTCTTGGGTTTTAGTCGATTTCTCATCTGGTCCCGAAGGTTCAAGCACCATCTTTCGGACTAACACACACGATGTCCTCCGGAGGCTACCCCAGCCCGCGTCAGGTTGCGCCCATCGAAGGAATCCCGCTGCCAGTGACGGACGGAGCCTTCGGGCGCGAAGAGGCGTATCTAATGTTGCACGAAGCGGACGAAGGGCGGAGGGGATCCCGGCGAGCGTGGTGGTGCAAGCTTTTTTCCATGGGCGCGCTCGCACTGCTCGTCGTCGCGTCGGTATACCACGTACGCAGCTCCGACCTCGTCACGCGCTCGAGATGGGTACGTCACTGTCCCTGGAGGCTCCCAGTCCTTACGCTCGTGCTGATGGTTGCACGGCTCTTGGCGCAGGTTGGCGGCGGCGCGCCATGGAATGCTGCCAGTGATTGCATGAGACACGACATGTGGATGGTCGAAAAGGGGCAGGATGGGCTGTCACGCTCAAGACAACGGCTGGAGCTCGCTCCGCCAGACCTCAACACCACCCTTCTCTTCGACGCCATAGGCGCATACCGAGAGAGCTCGATTGCGTTCTCCTTGAACGCCACCCCTAACACTACCGCCATCATCGTGGACATACAAGCCGACTACCCCACAGAATATGATATCGACTCGGTGGTTGTGTGCAGTTCGCAACCGTCTGAAATGCGGCTCCTTGTGAGTGTCCGTTAATCACAAATGCACACTCAATAACTCATCTGACCTGAACAGAGTCCCGTTAATCTTCCCGAAATCCAGTACTCTATCAATGTCCAGCTCCCAACGAACGCGGACGGCAGTTACCTTAATCTCAGCAAGCTGGTGTCTTTCATGCCTCATTTCGTACATTCGTTAGGACCGTTGGCGGATGGTGCGGTCTTCGGCGAAGTCAAGCTATACTCTGGGATGTCGGCTGTTTATGTCGAGGTGTGCGCTGTTCTCTACAAATTTGCGCTCTCACTGACAAAAGAACGACCAGTCCTTACTCGCGGACCATGTAGGTGTGACGGCGATGGATGCCTGCATCGAGGGTACTTTCTACGCTTTCGGCTCCCTTCGCTTGCACACCTCTGGTGCGCCGATCACGGCACGCACCCACCTCTTCAACCTTGACGTCACTGAGCCGACGCGTCTGGACATGCGGACAACCGACGCGTAAGTATCCCTACATCGCTCTCCCATCGGGATACCCGCTCACCCACCCGTCGTCCACTTCGACAGCGAGATTCATAGCGAGGTCAGCCTCCTCTGCGGCACGCCCGACGAGCACCACCCCAGCGGCCCCGGGGCGTTCAGCCTGTCCGCTCACAACCGCGGCGGACCCGTCAACCTCGCCGTCCTCGACGCCCCCTTGTCCAACCACTTGCGCGTCCACGCGAGCGCGCACGACGCCCCCGCCACCGTGGCGCTGCCGCCCTCGTACGAGGGCGGGTTCGAAGCGCGCACTACGTACGGCCCACGCCCCGTGGTCGAGTGGCGTGAGGAGCTTGTGGACCCAGCCGGGCTTGGAAGGAAGCGCGGCGCACGCTGGGGCTCGGTTCAGAGAGGGCGCGTTGCGGGACGGGTTGGTTGGGGGGCTGCGTGGTCGCCGTGGGGCGAGGAGTCGGAGACGTTTGGAGATGAGGGGAACATGGTGGTCGTTGAAGCGTGGGAGGACCAGGCGACTTTGAGCCTATGAGTGGGTGTGGACTTGAGCTTGGGAAGGTGTTATCAGCTGTAATGGACAGGCTGCCCTTGTTGTAAGAGTAATAACACAGGCAAGGCCAAGAATTTGCCTGGATCTATCCCGCGAACTTATCATGTCTTCAGAGGTGGCAACGTGTGCACACGTCGCGGGTGCCGTAGAGCACCGGCGTAACATGGAGCGCAGTTCAAGTCATGCCTTTGATGGTTCAAGACCGTTGGCGGTTGATCAAATGCCCATATTCCCACGGATATGAATGCCCTGAAGTTGATACTGGCGTCACTGGAGGCCTGGATTTGAAAATACGGCGAGGCGAGGTCCGAGCCCATCACTGTCGTTGGCACTTGGTCCGAGTGAGCCCGGAGGCTTGCGAAGACGTTTATAATGTCCAGTTGGTCCTCCTGGTCCTCATCCTATCTCCACGACCATGTCCATCGGCCTCGATATCGAGGACACGGGCCGAGAGGGCATCTCCAAGTCCAACTCTGACTCCCATCTTTCTCCAGTACACTCGTTTCTACATGTGGCACAGAAGCCTGGCAGGTCAAAATGGAAGGACGTTATCGTTCTCATTGCCGTTGTTGTGTGCAGCTTCCAAGCGGGGGTGAGTGTTTTCTCATAAAACCTCCAACCTCTTACTCCTATAGTACATTGATCGAGACCCGGTTCACTCAGGTATTCTTGAGCCGCCTTATGTATCGATCCTCCCCACACGAACGGGTTGTCAAGCCTGTGCGATGCGGCGGCTCCGTGGACTGGAACCTCGTGGCAGGTGAAGATGGGATGACGCGAGCCGTCACAACGTTCCCCCTCGACACTTCCCACTTGCTAGAGTTCATGTCCGATGGCGATTTCTCTGGATGCCGCTTTAATTTCAAAGTAAAACATATCGACACAGCGCAATCAGGACACCTTCGCGTGGAACACGAGGTTCACGATCTGAAGCCCCGGATTGAGGACGGCGGGATGGCTGCCATGGAGACCTGCTGGGTCGGAGGTCCCGAGCGGCGCTGGGGGATTGGGTTCGTTGTGCGTACTTTTCCACCAATGGACTCATGAACGTTCAGTGTGAGACATACTTTGAGCAGGCTCCCCGTGAGTTCACATCCGCCCCAGGGCTGAACGTTACTGTGAATGTGGAACTCGTCATCCCGTGGGACGTTGAACCCTTCCACATGAGAGGATTCAAGACGATCTTGCCTGAGTTCGAGCAAATCTATTACGTCGACACATTGCGCCGGGTCCACCACGAGTATGCTCAGATGACTGGAGAAAATGAAAGCGTCACCGCCAACGTGCGTTGGCGCGCTACAGCTGCGTGCAGAAAGCTTGTCCAGGCGCTGAAAAACGCGACGCGCGTCGCGAGAAATGGGAAATTAAATCGAAATGGTCGAAAAATCGCCAG